GCAGCACAGAAGAGTGCCGCGCGGCAGCTGTTGAAGCGACCGGGATCATGCGCAGGCTCGCAGGAGGGAGTTAGAACGCCTGTGCACCTACGCAAAGTGCGCGTTTGGCATGCCCAGCAAGCCATGGCCACGGAACCGGTGGCAACAATATTTGAATCCCACCACTGAGTGGAAGACTGCTGTCGCCACGGCTCTAGTCTTACAACAATGATGAAGATGTAGCTTATGAGCATTGCGTGCATCATAACCAATGCATGTATGCACCATCCTGGGTAGCTCCTCTTTCTGTCATAGAGCTGCTCAGCAATGGATCTGACCCATCCCCTCCCTTGCCCAAAGGGCAGTGAGTTTGGAGAGGAAGGGATCACAAGAGAATAAAAACAAACACCAAAGCTGTGGGAAATGCACAGCACATGAATATTGAATAATTCAAAAGATGGATAATTTGTATTAATATAATTAAAAATAATTTAAAAGACTGATAATTTGTAAGGTGACCAACGGTCCTCCTTTAGGGAGGACAGTCCTCCTTTTGTAAGTTCTGTCCTCCCTCAAAGTGTCCTCCTAAATGTCCTCCTTTTTGATATTTGAAGACTAATCTGTAAATCTCCGCATTTGATCGATGCCGATCCGATGTGTGTGATGTGACGTATTTGTTTTTGACATGACGATGATTATGAGACATATGCGCTCCACACAGGATTGTTTTGAGCGTGCAGCGCGCAAGAGGCTTTGTTTTCCCCCCCTTCCATTTATTTGTGTCCTTTTAATTGTAAAAAAGTTGGTCACCTTATAATTTCTATTTATATCAAGCCATATAAGAATGTCAATAGTATCGATATGAAATCGTTGTCAGGCTTGTTCTCAAATGTAAAAAAAAAAGGGGGGGGCTATTGCGCCCACTCTGAGACCCCTTTTTCTCCAAAAAGGTCTCCTTTCTTTTTCTCCAAAACGGTCTCCTTTGCGAGTCTCCTTTCTCAGCGCCGGCCTCAGCCTTCCTCCCAAGAGATGGAACCACGCCCCCTTTTTTTGCTGAATCCGAACGCAGGGCGATGCCATCGCGCGGCTTCTCTCCCCCACCACCCCCAAAAGGGTCAAAGCCGTCCCACTCGCCCATCCGCCGGCTGCTTCCGGCGTGGCCAGGGTTGCCAGACCGCAGCTTGGCTCTGCAGCCAAACTCAAGTCAAAATACGGCCAAATTATTTTCTCTCACGGCCAAGTTTTTTTTCCAAAAAAATCATAAAAAATAGTCAACCAGGGGGCTCAGGATTGCGTGCAGCCCCTTCTTTGATATGTTAAACAAGTTTTCTACAGTTATGAAGAAGGAAAAAAACCCACACATTTATTTATGTATTGATTTGTTTATTCTTCACGTTCTTCGGCTATTAATATGAATATGAATTTGTGATATTCTTTTCTTCCCACGGTTGTTGAAGTGAATCGCTGCCGTTTTCCTGTTACAGGCATGATATTCCCCTCTGAAAAAAAAAATCGGGGCCGGCCAAAAGAGACCCCGCGCCGCGCACCAAGAAATCGCACAAACAACACCAACGACACACACCCTTCCTTTCCAGCCGGTCAGGTGTGGATCAGCTCCGGAACTGGGCCGGGAAGCGCCCGCTGCTTTCCCTCGCCAGGGCCGGGCGGTGGCGTGTTGCCCTGCGCCGTGGCCCCTGCCTGGCAGCGCGCTTCTCGGCAAGAGGCAGCCGGGTTGCCCAAGGAGCCCGGCCGGCCAGTCGAGGGGCCCCCTTGGCAAGGGGCCGGGGAAGCCTGCGGGCGGAGGACCAAGCGCGCTGGGAGGCAGAGATTCGGCCGAGGCCATCAGACGGAGAGACGGCTGGTCTGTGGCTGCCCAGCTCCCTTTTCCTGCGGCTCAGCGGCCTCCGCTTGCACCGCCCGGGCTCCGCTCAGGTGTCCGGCTGGGGCTCTGCGCGCCTCTGCAGCTGTCCGTTCAAGGGGTCGAGGTTCTCTTTAAGTATCCATGGACCGAAAGGTGCCAGGAGGAGGAAGAAGAAACCCGGGAGCCGCTGCGGTGAGCCTCCAGTGCCGCTGCTGCCGTTGCAAAGCTCTTCCTTTTTGCCTTTCCCGAGGCAACGCGGGAACGGAGCCGCACGGAGCCACGCCTGCGGTAGCAACTCCTGACTCAGGGGGCCTCCGAGGGGAGGGGAAGGAGGAGAAGAAGGGGGGGAAGGCGATTCCCCCAAAAATAGGAATTCCGATTTTAATCAGAAGAATATCATGTCTGTCTGTTAGGAACATGGTTCAACGTGCTCCACGGAGGTTCTCCGCCGTCCCAAAGGGGCTTTTTCCAGAGGCAACTGGACTGTCTTGCTTTTCCTGGAAGACGTTTCGTTGCTCGTCCAATGAGTCACCACCGGGACATGGCGGTTCTGTGAATCTGGCTCCTGCATTTCCTCTGCTCCTGGGAAGGTCATAAGAAGGCCATTCCGTGGTAAAACTTTGGGTTTTGGTTGTGGTCGTTGTCGTTGTCGTGGTCGTCGTCGTTTCGGTTAGGGTTAGGGTTGGCCTTATCGGTGTCGGTATACTTGCCATTATCGCTATCGCTATCGTTATCTTTATCGTTATCTTTATCGTTGTCCTTAGGTCTATCGCTGGGAGAAGCCAGCGTGTCGAGAGGCGCCCCCTTTCCTCCTGTCGCCCCGCGTCTCCGCCTGCCGCCGGCCTGTTCTCCATGTCTCTTCTTCTTCTCCGATCAATTCCAAACGCCCGAATCGCCAACACTCAAATGTCTTTAAGCCACGGCGGGCTCCAGCTTAAATAGCCCCGCCCTGCGTTTTCGTTTTCGTTTTCGACGTCCACGCATTTGATGGACAAATAGCTTTGAAGGACCGAGTGTTCAGCAAATCAGAAGCATCTTTGATAGCTTTCCTGGGGAATTCCCCTCAAGTCCTGGTCTCCGGCCAAATTTAGTTGCTTGGCCGTGAAATCGGCCAGATGGCAACCCAGCCGCTCTCCTTCCCTCGCGCATGCGCGTCACCATGAGCAAAAGGAGGACAAGCGCGTCCTCTCAGTCCTCCGACACGCCCGCTTCCTCTCTCAACTCCCGTCACACACCCCTTCGGGCCCTTGGCGCCCGGTCACGCCCCCTTCCCGCCTGTGACCCGAGTAGGGGCGGCTCCTCCTCCGTCAACACCACACTCATTCCCGTCATTTTTTTTCACGGCCAAGCAGATAGAAATACGGCCAGCTTTCTCGAATTTGGCCGGAAAAACGGCCAGATGGCAACCCTGCGAGCAAGCGCCGGCTCGCCAAACAGGCAGCGCGTGCGCACATCCGTCTTCCTTTTCGGCCTGAGCGCCGTGAGGCGCTCGAGTCTAGAAGCTTCGCGAAGTCCGCCGGATCGGCCGCCCGCCTGGGCCATCCGTGACAGGCTGGGGGGGCGCTCTCTCTCCTCTCACTCACTCTCCTTGCTGCGCGCGCAGCTTTTGCTTTTTTTGCCCCCGCCTGCTCGGGAGGTTTCCTGGTTTCCCGGGGGCCGCTCTCTCTCTCTCTCTCTCTCTCTCTCTCTCTCTCCCCTCTTTTTCACTCTCCCTGCTGCGCGCGCAGCTTTCGCCCTGTCCCCGCCCCCTTGACGCGCCGCCTGCTGGTCCCGCGCGCGCGGCCGAGCTTCCCTCAGAACGGCGGCAGCGGCGGCGCCATGACGGCGGAGGAGCGCGGGGCTGAGGAGATGAGCGCGGCGGAGGCGGCGGCCGCAGCGGCCGCGGAGGGCTTCGACATCACCGCCAAGGGCGACGGAGGCGTCCTCAAGGTGGGCGGAGGCGCCTGCGGGGCCCGCCTGGCCCGAGCCTCTCCCCCCCCCACCTCCGCCGAAGGCCGGGCTCGCCCGCTGCCTTCCTCACGAGGCCCCGAGGAGGCGCGTCTGCCCCGGGATTCTCGCCCGCGGGGGCTACTCCTTTGCACGCCCGGCGGGGGACAGCGTTGGAAGCGGCCGGTCTGAATTCCGGGGCGGCCGGGAGCCTTCAGGCCGCAAAGCCC